TCATGATCCCAGTAGGTTGGAAAGTCTGGTTAGCCTGGAGAGGAGCGGATGTGGGAGTTTAACGCCGAGCTGCGGCCATGGCATGGCACGGGCCACTTGTCACGACGCTCCACCGCACTGTTTTCCAATATTTGAAGAGAACATGAAAAAAAGTGAAAGTATGGTTTGGTGCAAGTTGTTACAATCAATTATGGTCCCATGGTAGTCCCAGGTCCATGACGAAACTTACGACGTATAATTTCCCAGTGTGAGCAAGGATTTCTCCAGAAAGGTTTTGCATCACATTTTTCTTCTTGTCAATACAGTTAGGACTTACCTTCTCACTTCGCCTATGTTTTGTTTATTTTTTCTTTTGTTCGTTTGTTGTTTTCTGTCTTGTTTGTGTTGTTTTATATTTTGTTCTGTCCTTTGTTTTCCTCACTTGTATACTACTTTAGCTTCTTGCCTTTTTATATTTCTTCAGCATTCCGTTTTAATGCGCGTTTACCGTTGGTGTGCAGATCAGGGCACGTCCTGCCGTTGGAAAAATTTTCGTAAAAGAACGACCCCTCCTTACTCATCCTACCTACCGTTTTCCTAGACTTTCCCAACTTCGTGCCACTTTTTCCCGCAGTTTTTCTCGCGGATTTTCACGAAATTTTCGTAGCTTTCACCCGGAATTCCGTCTATATGAGTAGGGAGAGGGTATATAAGAATCCGCAGTATGATGACGTCAAAAACTAAAAACAAGCATAAAGTCAGCGACCGGCGAAAATCGCTTTCCCTCACGGTCCCCTCCCCTGCTAGATTTCCCAACGTACGATGCGGTCTGATGCACGTTGCTATAATTCCTGTGTGATTCCGATTCATTCAGGCTGATGTTACTGTTGAGGCGGATGATAGCCTTACTAACCCCATCAAACTGATTAACAGTAGAGAGTCATTTATTGAACAGGTCTCTATTGGTCGTCTACGCCTTATCATTTTCAGCAGGTACTGCTTGGCTGGACGCAGCGAACCGATTCCGTTGTACATGGATGATTTACTGAACGCCGGACGACGGGTCTACGACAAGCATTCGCCTCCTGTACAGCAAGGTTTGAGCGCTTCTCTCTTGTAAATCTAATACTGGGTAAGTGAAACACCCTTGACGTTCATTTTGCTACAGGTAGCTCAGCAATAGCCTTTTTCTGGGCAATCATCTCTTATTTCTTCCGCATTTCTTGATTTACCCATGACAGCCCTCAGATAGCGGAGACGTTTTTTTTCAAGTAGCTTGTTTGTGAGGATTAATTTTCGCTTCCAGCTGAAAATCCAACAATTGTACGCTTGGCGATGTACATCGAGGGAATGTCGTCTTTCCGAACACAAACCATGGTAAGTGTATTAATTACAAGTTTACTGGGCGCTGTTCGCCTCAAGGAGGGGTCACAGTGGATTTCGCTAGCTCGTTAGTTTCCTGATCTCAGCGATGCACGTAAACTCTAGCAGACTTGGGACGTGCGAGCTTCCCTCCGTTCTATTGTATAAGCCTCACATGAGTTTATAGAATTTCACAAAGTGACTTTCATGTTTGGATGCCTCCACTTCGAAGCTTCGGCAGGGGTTATAGCAAGGTCCTTTTTCGAAAGAGGCTGAGAGGATCACCCCCCCCCCTTCCAACCTCTCCAACTCCCCTAGTGGCGAAAAGCTCCATCTATCGAAATGTTACCGAAAATCGACGAATGGGTAAGCAAGCACCACTGGAAACATCACAGTTATACGTTTCTTCAATAAAATGTATTCTTCCCTGTATAGGAATCATTTGCAGGACTTCCAATTGGACGTCTACTTCCAGCAGTTTTGGAAAGATCCCCGGCTGGCTCATAACGAATCACGGTAAGGCACACTTGTCTAGAGCAAGTAGACAGCACCAGTTATTCGGGGGATCTTCTGGGGAACGTCACGCACTCAAATCTTTCAGAACGTCTTCATAGCTTCTAAACGTGTACTGTGATAAGTCAGCAAATTGTGAGGCCAGCCAATCGTCAGTTCAGGGGCTCAACCCTTATTGAAATAGTTTTGTTGGCTCGGATGATGGGGCGTGTCGGGGAGTCTGGGTTTGGAACAACGCCAGCTCGTTCTCCACGAATTGTTGAAGTGGGTACAGCGGCAAGACAGCAGCTGGTGGAAAACTGCTACGGATGACATGATACAGTTCGGTCGCTTGTCAAAGGAAAGAAAAGAAATCGGCTGGTGTTGCTCCAAACCCATCCCGCCTTGGCACGCCTCACCGTCCGCAGAGAACAAAGTGCAAATGGCTTGCTTAGATACCATCAAAGGGATCAAAATTAGAGTTCTACTCGAGGCTCATGGCAGTAGTAACTGTGCCGTTCACTGCTGGTTACCTCCGAAAAAGATGGTGAGACGGTCGGGCTTTTGCTGATGAAATCAAAGGTGGAGGTCGTACGCAGAAATGGCGGCACTGATTCAAAATGATGGGATTTTTCGGGTCACGATAATTATAGGAAAGCTCATTATCAGTGACCTTTTAGTGATTTCGGGTTTACACTCCTACTCCTGATAGTTTGGCGTGGTTTGGTGTGTAGCTGCGGCACATTCTGCACCCCCTACAGATTTTTTTGTTTTTGCAGAGTTGAGAGGTACGATTTGGGTCAGGGAGGTAGGCTTGTAAGAAAGCAAGTGAGTGTGGGTGGTCAAAGGGGTCTTATTGAAGCTCCGATACAGGTTGATTCCGAAACATTTGATGTTATTCTTGCCGTCACTACGTTAACGTCCTCTTCCTCATTTCCATATCAGAATTAGGAGCAAACCTATACAATAGGATACAAAGACACGCGCACCCTCGCGTGACTCACCGAGCACCTTCGCATGTTAGTAAAATAAATGAATAAATAAGAAAGAGCGACGGTTCTCCGTCGCCGCCCATTCAATCAACGTGGACTGTGCCTTTAACTTTTTACTTCTAGGCGAGTGCTTGTTCGTGACAAAGATGTACTGTCGAAAATGTGGCATCCGGATGTATACTTTGCAAACGCTCGGATAGCGGAATTCCATGAGGTACAGTGAAGTTGCCTCCATAGCTGAAAGCACAAAATTTACTTTGCAGCTTATCCTAAGTTCAGGTCACACAACCAAATTTTCTGCTGTGGATTGAGCCAGACGGTTCTATTCTGTACGATACACGCATCTCAATGGTCGTAGTTTGTACGCTGAACCTTGAAAAATGGCCTCTGGACTCACAACGCTGTCATCTGCGGATATTAAGCTGTAAGTTGTCGTAAAAGTTGCATGTTAGGCAAGGAGCCAGCTTCCACTATGCAAAAAAATTTTCTCTCCTACATAGGCAATCACAATGACAATGCCATATGACTGAAAATTAGTCTCGGTCAGAACCCGCGAAAATGTGATCGAAAACTTTCGAACGATAAAATACGAACGAACGATCGAAAAAGAAAAAAAGGCTAAACATAAACCTGCTGGACTGTTATTCCAGGCAAAGGCTTTTCAGAGGAGTCATGAAAACCTTTGCTGAATAACAGTCCAGCAGGTTTATGTTTGAATAATGGCAAGGGTTAAGCGACTTGACCATAGCCATAGAAAAAACAGCATTTTGCATAAATGAGAACCCGTTTTTACGCATTCAGACTTTTTGAGCCCTTGGCTCGACCAAAAAAAATAACGCGCGACTCTAATTTTTGCAGCAGCGCTTTTCATGATTGCATTCAAAGAGGCTAGTAGGTCGTAGTACATAGCACTGATTTGGAACCCGCTACCTGTGAAGCTTGGTGACGATTTGAAAGGAAAATTTCCCGTGTTGTGGAACCTAATAACAATATGAAGGTTTTAAAGCTGTAAACTACAGTGTGGGGACGAATACTGTCAAACCAGGGCACCGGGGCGAAAGGCATTGGTGAACCGTTGAAACTCTTCCGTGGCCGTCTTCCCAGGGTGGGCGGAGTTTCCCACAAGGGGCGGAGCTTCCCATGCGAGGGCATAAAAATGAATTTTAGATGTGACAGATGACCGACAGATGTGATGTGAAGTTGTCGCGTAATCCCCTATGAATCGAGAACGGAGAAATGGGCGGAGTTTCCCACAAGGGGCTGAGTTCCCCACAGTGGGCGGGGCTTCACCTTAGTGGGCGGGGATAAAGGATAAAGTCTTCGTAGCTGAGCGATTGCTTTTTGGGATGCAACATGTCTTTTTCCATTCAGAATCGTAGAGGCTTATTGATGAGGCCTACACATTAACTTCCAGGGCATACCAGATTGTACAAGCCAGTGTTGTTATCCACCCAGACGAATCTGGTACCAGTTCACTGTCCCCGTAGGGTGGGAGCCTTGGTTGAAGTCTTTTCTGTTGACTGACCATCATACAATAAACAATAAATAATGTAGTGTAAAGCGTGCAGAAAATGTGTATGATGGGCTCTCACGCACGGCTCTCTTCACGCAAAATTGGAAAAAAGAGCCGCTTCAAGGAAAAATTATAAGCAATCAGTCGAGGATCTTTCGATTGTGAAAAACTTCTTCCTCTGGTACGACAGGATTAAGGTGCGCAGTGAGCCTAGAAGGGGAGGTGATAGTCCCGCGTGCCTGCTCGGACCAGGTCCCAACAAAAAACGCACGAAGCTACAGCATTCCTCCACCTTTGGCCTGATTGTGCAGCGAGTATTCTCGGACTGCAAGGGATCCTAATGCGGAACTGTCGAAGTGACTTAACTGCACTGTTTAGATGCATACACAACCGATCAGCTGCAAATCGAATGGGTGGAAGATACGCCAATTACGCGAAATCCACAGATAGCAATGTCCGATATGCACATTGTGGACTTGTTTCCTGGCCTTTGCGATGGTAACTATTCACGGTGAGTTAAGTACTCAGCTAGGCTTGCTGGCAGTGAACGCTAAAGGCGGACGCGACTCTTTTAATCTCATACATATGCCCTATCCTCCTCCATTTCAAATGAATATCTTCGGAAAAATTGTGAAAATTATAGTTTTTTTTATAATAATGTCAAGGATGACTTGTTTGATTAAAGGGACGTGGAGTTGTGTGACCGCCGAGTTTTTCGTGAAGCGTGAAGTGACTCATCATGTGATGCAGTCTTACGTGCCTACTACTCTCATCGTCGTCATTTCATGGTAAGATTCGGCCTCGTTGCTGTGTTCTTCACTAATTTACACTTGAGGGTGAAAGTTTCACCAGTAGCACAACTGCAGAATTGCTGGTCCCAAGGCAGGCACACGCTAAACTGAAGCTGAACCTTGTAGGATCAAAGGACGTCGTTAAGCCCGCTATGCGCAAGGGGAAGGTCCTATGTGATTGCTGGTGTGGGAATGTCATATTTGCCTTGAGAACAATTATTTTTTCGGCTGGGCGACTTTTCTCCCTTTCCGTTCCCGCTGACTCGTCTGCCCAATCCATGAAATGTTTTGTAATATAGTATCGCCTCCTAAATTCTTTCTGGTATGACCACCTCCCATCTTCGATGCTACCTACAACCTCTCTAAACATTCCCAACCAACTTCCTACCACTTTCCGGCGCATTTCCGGAGTTTGTTCCCAAAAATTGCAGGCCTCTTCACCCCTGCCAATAAACTACCCTTTTGTGCATGTACACTAGTTGGTTCAATGCTCGGAAGTTGGCAGTGTGGCGCAAATATTGCATGTTGGTTGGCCAGTGCGCGCAGTTTTTGCGCCAGGACCGAATGGTTCTCTGGGCGGGTAACGCTGCGGTGTATCAAATCCACGCACTCAGAAATATTCTGCAGTTCATGCGGCTATGCCCCGACTCGGATATGGACTGGAAATTGCAACTCTCCCTCTTGTTTTGGAGCGCACTGCCCTTATTACTGTTGTAACACTTGTACAACCAGTAATAAGGCAGTACACAAAATACAACAGTAATAGGAAGTACCAGCAGCGCGGCTGCTGCCTTGTCAGCTCAGTCGCAGAAGTTCTATGGCCATGAGGGAGATGTATAGTTTGTAACATTTCAATTTGTCGGGGGCGGCGAGCAGAGTACAGCATCGTGATGTGTAGGATGGGTAGTGAGTCAGTGCTGACCTCCACCCTTCGCCAGTACGCTAGCTACGCGAGTTTCCCCGACATTTTCCAGTCTCTTGACTCAACCATTTTCCGTCGAGCCAGAGCGCACGACCCCCCTCCCCTCTCCAGCGGAAAAGGTTATAAAAAAGAAAATTACGAACCCCCCCAGTGTGTTTCCCACAACGATAGTGTACGCCTGGGCGGCGAGCGCAGCGCGGCACATGCTCGGTCCGCCTCTGCCTTGTCTAGGCCTGGTGATCGAGCAATGATCGATCTTGACATGTTCACAAATTTAGAGCATGATCTTATTCTTAAGAAAATGCAGGAACTCCTTACCATTTGCTTCAAAAATGCCAACAGATCCTTTATTGCCACTAATGGTTACCATGTTTTCTATACAGATGGTGGTAAAGAGATCTCAGATACGAGACTACAGATATTACAAATCCAGCGATTTAGTATACTTTATTGACTATCTTTTACGTAACAGCTTTTGTCTTTTTGCTAATAATACGTTCAAACAGACTAAAGGTGTCCCACAAGGTGGCAATTTCAGTCCACTACTAGCAGATCTTACGCTTTCTGTCATGGAATATGACTATGCTAAATCTAAAAAGTTTAATAAAACTAAGCTGTTCATCCCATATAGATATATGGATGATTTGCTTGTTGTTCACAACCAAACTGATGATGATGTGGATGAACTACTTTCTCAAGTTTATCAAAATACCCTTCAGTTGAAAAAAACTCATAGGAGTGAGGTTTCTAGTAATTATTTAGATTTAACAATTAATATCATTAACGGTAAAATTAGTACCAAGCTGTATAATAAAACGGATGATTTTACCTTCAGTGTTATCAGATTTCCGTATAGGGACACAAATATCTCTCTTATCAACAAATCCTCTGTTATATATACGGAAACTTTGAGGTTAGCGAACACTTGTTCGTTCTTCAACGCTTTCGTTAGCAAAATAACGGATATGGTCACCACTCTTTTGAAAAATGGCTACGAGGAAGATTTTATTATTACTAGCATTGTTAAGTGTATTTATAAAAATAAATTTATAAGTTACAAGTACTCAATCGCAAATAACTATAGAAAGATAAATAGACTAGTCACAGGTTTACTCATTTGCAGCAGTGATCAACACTAATTCCCTTCTTTCCACTATACTTTAATTGATTTATTTCTGGTATACCTTCTCTTATACTCAACATTCTCTCAGTGGTTTTGCCGGTTTACTCCTTTTCCCTTCCTTCCACACGTATTTACAGCACACTTCGTGTTATATCACTCTTTCATTATTATGTATAATTTTCATTATTATGTGTAATTCATCATCATCTTGATGCATGAACTTTGCATGTTACCCCCCCCCCTTTTTTTTACAATCTCTCTCTTTTTGTCCTATTTCTCACACCTTCCCCTATGTAGTCTATGTCCTCTTGTCTTCAACCTATCGCACTGATGAGCTCGGGGGTTGGCTAGACAATGATGATTCGTCTGCGATACCGAGCGAAACGGATCTGCGTGTGTTTGATAGCGTGTACTCCTTCCCATGTTTGGTTTTTCTTTGCTTGCAATTCAGGTCTAGCGCAGTGGTGGATGCGCGCAAGTGATCGCATGTCGAGGGAAGGAATCGATCCAGCGGTGCGCGGAAGTCGGCCGCAGGTGGGAACCGCTGATTGCGACCCGACTGGTCGCGGTGATATAAACTGTACATCGCCATGCCATAGATCATTGCTGGGGTTCTTTCGACAAAAATCTGGAAGGTCTTCATGAGAGATACAGCCAATTCTTCTGCAGCAGGTTCTGCTTCCATCAAGAAAGTCACGCCAGCGAATATTCCTCTTTTAAATACGATAAGAAAATTCAAGCAGAATTTAAAATTGGCATAGAGGTAATTTCAGCAAGATTTCAGCCTCTTCTCTTCAGTTTTCTGTTTTGGCTTGACGCGATCGCAGGTTGCTGCGCGGTTTCTCTCGCATTACAACTTGCTCACTCTCTCTACGCAGCTAACCTGCAAGAATGCATGTACAGAGTATTTATTTGATCTAGAGCTTCTCTACAAAAGTTAGTCAGAGGTTGCTTTCTCCGGTGGATTATGAGAACGCTTGTCGTTGTACATGTGACTGCTGATGAGCCAGAGGAAAGGCGTTGTCCTTCAAAAGGAAAAAGCTTTAAATAGGACTCTAGGCATTGGCACGATGATTGGGGTGCTCGCCTAACAATGCTAGTAGGCGCTATACATAGTGGGGAATGGCGAAAGAACGGAGTGAAACGGAAAAGAACGGTCAAAATCCTGCGAAAAGATTGCGTCTCAAGTAACAGTAATCATTTTGGACGAGGTTTTCCCCGAAGGCATCTTACCAATACGGCTACCCGAACGGACCGGCCTGCCATCAGTGCACATCAATTATCCATGCAGCGCCCACGACCGCTTTCATTACCAATGCCTTCCGCCTCCATAACTTTGCTTCATATACTGAATATAATTAAGAAGCGTCTGGAACAGCGTCCATATTGTGGGCGGACGGAAGGGGCAGTTTGGACCTACCACTTCGCCTCGCCGCTCGATAGCCGCCCTTCACTAAGGGCTTCCTTCTGGAAAGGCAATTATGCAGCTGCCTCGCTCAGGATCCGCGAACCTCCCGCTCCTGCCGGGGCGTAGTCCTGCTCGTCTTGGCAGAGCTTTACCTCGTGCCCACACTGCGCTTAAAGCATTCTAGCAACTAGCAATCACAGCATAAATTACTGGTATCGAGCCCGCCACTCCACTTGAAATTATTGGTATGGGCGCAGCTTACTAGATCAACGCTGCGGCGTTGCGAGCGGTATAGCGACATGACGTCTGCTCATCTGCACCAGGATTCAGTTGGTTTGACTTGAAGCGCTATGTCGAGTCAACTAGCTAGGCACTACTAATGCCTTCGTGTGCGATGCCGCAGCGTAGATCTCCCAGCCTACATCCATTAGTGGGAGATGTGCTACTAGACTAACTCCATCTTGTTCAGGTGTCGTACATGAAAGCGATCGACGTTTGGATGGGTGCCTGTATGATGTGAGTTCATTCTGGGAAACAATAAGATTTTCTGATTCTGTTTATTTATTCATACGATGTAATCCGATCTCGCGATCTGGGGTGATGTGCATCAGCAGCTTACACCAGAGTGCACCATTTAATGACACTTGAACTTGTAACCGTGGTCTTGCCACGAGAGCAAACATATACAGGTTTTGGTTGAGCATCGAAATCTGTCGAAAAACCGAGCCACTTTCTCGCCACTAAAGCGCAGTGAGGCAGCATTCGCCACCGACCATCAGCGTCTCGAGGGACTAGGAAACTATGCATAGCGATCTAGCGTCTGCCAGCGTCCACCAGCGTTTACCAGCGTCCATCAGCGACCAGGAGTAGAGAGTATGGGAAGTAGGAGGGTAGCAGACTGCTGGTAGAGTATGGGGAAGTAGGAGGGAGGAGACAGCTGGATTAGGCGTCGTGAAATTGTGGCGTGTGCAACCGCACCGTCTACTACACATTACCTCTACTCCTGGTCGCCCCTGGTCACTGGGGCGCAGGAGACGCTTAACTCGATATCCTACTTTGCTAGTCCTACGAGACGCTGGTGGTCGCTGGCGGACGCTCGGAACGCATGGTCATTGGCGGAGGTCGCTGGTGACGCTGCCACAAAGTATGAACGCAGCTTAGGT